AGTTGGGCCATACAAAGTGGGTATTCGTGTCAGTGCCGAGGACAACATGTTACTGGACTATGTGTTACGTACCGACAGCGAGGGAGGGTAATTATTTCGTCACCTATTTCAATTTATTAACTAATCTTGTCTTCGTGACTCTAAGTTCACTTATTGTTTTGTTTATTAGTGAATAGAAGATTGCTATGATAATTTGCACCTTTTTAACTAGAGAGGATATGTTGACTAAGCACCTAAATCTCTACTGAGCACTCTGGTAAGTAGTGCATGTTTGGGCATTGATATACATTTACAAAGTAACCTACCAAAACCAGTATAATTAACCTGTTGAATTGCAAATTGTTGACACCATTGTCAAAAGGTTGACATGGGAAGACATGGATAAAACAAAAAGGGAATGTGCCTTTCTGCCCGTTAAATTTGCAGTATGAAATTTATTTCGCTTGTGGCTTTAAGATTTGCATTTCACTGATAATCTTACTGACTTAGGCGAAAGCTTCTGGAGATAGAAAGGACATACGAAACTTCATCAGAAAAGAGAACGTGAAAACTCTATACTGTTCTGATATTTGTGACTACGAGGCAGTGTGTATTTTTTTCCTTGTGAATTTCTATCTATATTATAGTTAATGTTGAGTTTCATGTTGTGTAAAAATGTCATTTTTCTGTTTTTCATATAGACATTCATTCCCATATACATGGGTAACCATTTCTTGCTATGCGTGGTAAATCTGAAGAAGCAAGAGTACTGTATTTGGGACTCTTTATTCATGCATGAAGAAGACCGAAATTGAGCAAAAGTTGGTGGACATTGTAAGTAGAGTTTGTAGAGGTCTCAATATGCTAATAGATAAATCGCACTAAAATTCACTTATGAAATTACAGTTAGCAGTCTTGGATATATTATTTGTTGATGGCGGCGGCGAGTGGTTCCTTGGTGTTAATTCATTCCTAAATTTTGAGTTCGACGAAACAAATGATGCTCCTCGACAACCAATAAGTAAGTAGTATATCAATGTCTTCATTTGTAAAACCATTTTTTCAAATAAGGTGATTAATATAGCTACGTTCATTGTACAAGTGGGATTGTGGTATATTTATGATCAATTTGATGAAATGTGGCCGCTTCTTGAACAAAAAAATTGCAAAGTGCATGGGGAAGCAGCTAAGTTGATTAAATTGACTCATGTTTGATAGACCAACAATTACACATGTTTTTACCCCTATTCTTGAGCCGTTTGAGAGGTTGACTCTCGTGTTTAAGCCGATTTCATGCGAGGTTGTGTGTTTATGTCATATTTCAGGACCCGGCATTGGAATCGAGGCGAGAAAACGAGTTTTGGGTCGAAAGGAGCGAAGTTGGGTTGAAGTGTGCTGCAGGAGGAAAATACCCGGTCGGGGGCTCAAATACCCGACAGGGTATTTATTGTTTTGGCACCCGTGAGAAACAGAGGGGGCCCGGGCGTGAAGCTTAAATACCCGGTCGGGGATTATTGGAGCAGAACGGGGATTTTCCCCTGGCACGAAACGCGGGTTTTAATAATACCCGGTCGAGACCCAAAATACCCGACCGGGTATTTCGACCGGGTATCGCGACAGGCAGCTGTTTTAAAGGAAAAGAAGGCCAAAGATCAAGGGGATTCGAGTTTTAGAGAGACAGAGCGATTCCTAGAGAGAGAAAGCGACGAACAAGAGTCTCCAAGTGCCCTAGCTTGATCTTCATCACCATTGGAGCTTGGCTTGAGCTTGGAGAAGTGCCGATCAACGTCCAGGAGCAGGAATCCATCCTTCACAGTATGAATTTCGCGTCTGATTCTGCTTTTGCTTCTTTCTCCATGGAGTAGTTCTCCCATTCATCTGGGTATGGAGAACCCTAGATTTGTATGTTATGTCTGATTGTATGAACCCAAGTATTGATTCTATGATTTGATTATATTTAATTGAGGTTTGAATGATTGAATGGCATGAATCCTGATCAAATTCCTGTTGTTTCTGCTTTAACCTAGAATGAGAATATCTGCCTAGGTTGATACTTGATAGAGCATCCTTGATTGAAGGTAGGGAGTTGGTGACTTTAGTCGAGGAGCCAACTCACTATTCTGTACCGAATTCACTTCGGTAGTGGAGGTTTTGTTCGTTAGGGCCTCAATCTGTTTACTCCGGTGGAGGTTAGTCGCCCGCTAGAGACTCAGATTGAGAGGGTCTGGAGACTTTTAGTCGAGACTTCAGACTGCTTAAGAACCTTCCGCAGTATAACTATCATAGAAACTGAAATTGGTAATTGCAATCCAACTTAACTGCAGTCTAGGGGGAACCATATCCGGGTGACCTCTCTTAACCTGAATACAACCGCTTAGTTGCTTTGCTTGTTTGTTAGTTTAGACTTGCATTAAAGTTTCATTGCTAGATAACAAGAATTCACCGAGTAGTCATCAACTCTAGGACCTGGGTTGACATTAAAACCCAAACCCGCTATACTACGCTTTAGGAAGTGGTTACACTTGGCCAATTTCTAGAGTGACAGTAGAAGTGAGTCAATGCTCCATTTATTGTGGTTTCAAATTTCAATTATCAATTGATTTGTAATTTCAAAGTTCAAAAGCGAGGAGGAACGTTTGACGTTGGTGCTGGAACTTATCAATTGCACCCCGAATAAAAGGATAACCTTACTTGACAAAGCAAGAGAACTAACTATTCGTATGAAGAAGCTTTATTTGATGAACTGAGGTGAATGAGATGTTTATCAATATTTTTTTCTATTTCAACAATAGGCCTCAATGTTTTTTTTAATATTTCTTATGTTGCAGGGATAGTTAGTTCTTTGATGAGGGATTGGATCATTGGAATCTTGTTCATTTCTTATGTTGCTGGGATTATTAGTTCTTTGATGAGGGTTGGAATCTTGCTCATTTCTTATGTTGTTCGGATTATTAGTTCTTTGATGAGAATTGGAATCTTGCTCATTTCGTATGTTGTTGGGACTATTATTTCTATGATAATGAGGATTGTATTTATTTATTAGGTCTCCACAAGCCCCTCACCTTGAAATCTAACCCGTATGCATGCTATATGTTTTGAAGCTATTTAGACTTGCTTTGCGAGTCCTCTGCCCCTAAAATTTTGTTCCTGAGGGATTGAACCCACTACCTTAAGGTTATAGACTTTCCCATTCCATATTAGTCAATAAAGTCAGCATCTTAAACCACTAGGCTGGTCGCCTATTACTTGTACAAATGTCAATCTCTTGTCATTTTCTATAGGTGCAACCTTACGTAAAATCAAAATATTTGATGATGTTTTTTTACTTCAATATCTACGCGATACATCTTAAAACATTTAAACAAAAAAAGACACGAATTTACGTAATTTGCTCGACAATTAAAATTAACTCACGGGAGAAATTGAAATTTCTAAATTACAATTGTAGTTAGATTTTCGTTATCTCACTAATTAAATAAATGAAAATGAAAAACACGGGTGGCTAGATTGCGGCATATGCCAAAACTAAGTATCAAATCATTTAAGGGAGAAAACAACAAAATCATAAACTAGTCAAGTTGAACATCCATGTTGTCGCATCACTAGTTGACTGCCTTCTACATTGTTTGAGTATTTTCAAGATTTAAACGCTATTTTGGATACATTCAAATACCGTTTCGGTTGCTTCTACGAGCTCGTCTTGCTGAGGAAGATGGGTACAAAAGTTGATCCGGCATCGTGTTTAAACTTCGTAATAACAAAACATCTACGAGCTCGTCTTTTCCTTCAAAAGGCGGGCCAAAGCTCTCCTTTTTTGCCTCCAAGTATGAATTCATAATCCCCAAAACAAGCTCTCGGGTTCTCTGGTTCCAATTTTTCGAGGAGATACAAAGATCGGCAGCAATGATGCAGCAGCAGCCTATTATGAAACCAATGTTGATCTCCAGAGGAAGATAAAGTGTGGACCTGATTTCACACAGGATGTTGCTGTGAAAAAGAGGAGGGTTTTAGCTTATCAGGTATGCGGAGGATTGATGCCATTGGCCAACTAGTACTGCGGTTACCAGTGACTGCTTTATTTATGTTCCTAGGGTTTTTGTTTGTTCTCTTCTCCTTATTGTTTTGAGCATTTCAATCATAAGCTAGATTTAGTCGTTTCAAACATGAATGGTATAAGGAATTGGGGTTAAAAGGCCCTTGTCCCATTGCGTGTTGAAATTTCATGTAAGCTTCCCATTCAAGGTGCTATTAAGTGATCTGCAAATTTTGGACAGACTCGAGTTGATCAAATCGCACAACAGCAAAGACAGGGGAATCTCGATCTAGGTGAATATGAGGACTCATAAGAGCCTGTTGGATGTGCAGATTTGGAGCCTTCCAAATCACTAGTTGAGGCTAAGGTGCAATTAGCATGCGAATCTAAGCAAATAATTTGAACTTTAGTTTCCAAACAAATAAAACGAGTATCCTAAGGATCTGCACTTCAGCTACCAATCTCACCATAATATAAAAAAACTAGTAATTGTGCAGCAGGTTTTGCAGAATGATGCAACAAGATCTGAAGAAAATGTTCAAGAATATAACAACTAGTAGCTATGCAACCTTAACTGCAAAATGATGCAGCTAATTTTGTAGAAAGGTTATACAAAGAGAATGGAAGCTAATCAGTAATCATATCCTCAGCTTCTATCACTTTAGTTAGGACCCTTCAATTTAAGCTAACCATTAGGCCACGAAGTTTCATTTCATGATCTCTGCCACAAAGCATATCACATAGGTCAAAATTGCTTCAGTAACAGTTGGTCGGAGATTGTGAAACCTGCAACAATAAATGAAAATTGGTATGCTATGGCATGAGAATTTGGAATGGTACATTGTGGAGCTAGAGTAAATTAAAATGATCTCTTGTCATTTTTCGGAGAGTGCTAAACAAATGGATGATTTGTAATTAGTAAGCTAATAAAAGTAGGCATACAAATATCTCCCGACTATAAAATAAAAAAAATTACAGTGCATACTTACTTCAAGTATAATCGTCGTCCTCCTCTTCATCATCATCGTCCCCATGCTCGTCTTCATCCTTGTAATCATCCTCGTTGTCCTTCTCGGCCTCATTATCAAGCTTGTCCTCTTCCTCAACCTTTGGTGTTCTCTTGTTTCTAACTTGCTCGCTCGAACGTTTAGCCGATTTTTTGGAGGATTTTTACAAGTGGAGGCATAATGACCGAAATCACCACAAATGCCACATTATCTTGATTTGACAATCTTCCCCTTATTGTTCTTAGTCAGTGGACCACCTTCAAAATATGTCTGGAGATTCTACACCTATTGATGACATTTGTAAGTTGTGGTACTGTAAAATACCATATCTCCATATGCGTTCTTCTTCCTTTGAAAATCTTCATAGTATCGGTATGCCATCACAGTCATTTCTTTGAAGATTTTCCAAAGTACCTTTCGGTTCTTTTGTCCACCTCGGCAAAACCAACTGTGATGGCATACCGATACTATGAAATTTGTAACTACTGCACTCCATTTCTGATGTGGTTGGTTGATATGTAACTTCTACGACAACCTCAGGGTCTTCATATAGTGTCATCTCATAGACACAGTGAGAAAATCTTTCAAAAGATGTGTTGATAATGCATGCACCAGATGCTTCGAGCTGCTCCCGAAATGTAAAAATTGTCTCCCTTGAGTAAACACTAGCACCCCTTAGTTTGCCACCGTCGACCAGATTCTAACGATCGATGACCGGATTTCGGCGACTGGTGATCGGTTTTCGACGACCGGCGACCGGTGACTGGATTCCGACGAACAAAAAATTAGGACACAAAATAAAATTTTAATTTTAGAATTATTTTAATTTTCTATTTTTTATTATTTAATATAATATTTACCATGACTATTATACTTTCGTTGATTTTACACTAGGTCAACCTAGCTAATAAAAGGTAATCACAATCCTAGCTTTCTTTTGGATGGACACTAGTGTTGTCAACCTAACAACATAAGGGTGTTGTCACCCTATCTTTTTCCGAAACCGGGATAGCGGAGAAGACAGAATCGCGTAGAGGAAATCGAGAGGCGACAAGAGAGGTTGAAACTCGTGATAGCAGGAGGAGACAGAATCGCATGGAGGAATTCCGGAGACGACAAAATAAGAAACGGAATTGCTCGGAGGAACAACAACGACTATAACGAAGATGGAAAATCCCGACAGAGGGAGGAGATGGAACTAAGGAGAGGAAATCGAAAAGAAGGGGAAGTTGAAACTAAAATCAAGTTAAGCAGTTGCACGCACGAGTTCATTTATTTTAGATGTCTTGGATTGTCACCAAATTCTAAAAATTTTGAGGTTGTGCTGGATTTCAATGTGAAATTCGATCCATTCTTCGTTTAGTTTGAATTCTCATATTTAAATATCAATTTAACCAAAAGTTTCAAGCGTGGTTTACATTGAGTTTTTTCAACTCCACAAAAGCAAAAAATTTCAAAAATTGAACACCATCACTTGTACTCACAAAAGTAATTTAATTTACCTATTAATACTCTACATACACTTTTAAGCTAGTTTACGCAGATAATGAAGAGCCACAGAGTTCTAGAAGATGATCCCACAAAACCGGTTTCACTAATTTAGGAGAGCAGACGTGGCATCATCCAGCTGCCCCAGCCTGTACACAGCTCGACCATCCAACCGCTCACAATCACCCCCACGTAATTCCGAAAAATCCCAGCCATTAAAACTGAAAACCCAAAAGCACCAAACAGAGGGATGTTTCTTTTTTTTCTTTTTTTTCTTTTTTCCGTTCCGTTTTGACTTTGACCTGGGGTAAAACGGGAAGTCGAAGCGAAGCTTGGCTGGCAAGGAATATCTCCGGGGAACTAATCAGGGCAAAATTCATGGTGGCAGGATACGTGTTGCTACAGTAAAGGAAAACCTCCCAACCCTTTCCCCCTTTTTTTTTTTATAAGAAACAAACGCTCGTTCACCCAAAAAATCAATAATAATTACCACATAAATTAAGCAACCAACCCCGCCCGCTGTGATCAATCAATTTTGTTGATCGAGTTGGGGTGTGGGAAAAATCCCAGAAAACCAAAAAGAAAAAGAAAAAAAACAATGGTGAAGGAAAGTGCGAGGAAGTGCTCGCACTGCGGCCACAATGGCCACAACTCCAGGACGTGCAACGCTGCCAAGCCACCTGCCGCCGGAATCAAGCTGTTCGGCGTCAACATCGTCGAGAAGTTGGCTGCACCGGAACATCAGCCGACGACGTTGATGATGAAGAAAAGCGCCAGCATGGGGAATCTGGACTCATGGATCAACGGCTCCGTTGGCCAAAATGCGGTGGTGGAGGAGGCAGGGTATCTGTCCGATGGATACCTCAGTTCCAAGCGTGGCAAGGCGGCCGCTCACGAAAGGAAGAAAGGTACCTACCTTCTCTTCTCATCTTGTCCTTGTTCATCTGTTTTAGGAAATTCTAAGGCATGTGAGTTTGTTTGTTTGGGCAGGGAAGCCATGGACGGAGGAAGAACACAGGGTGTTTCTGGCGGGATTGAGAAAGCTTGGGAAAGGGGACTGGAGAGGGATCTCCAAGAAGTTTGTGACGACCAGAACTCCGACGCAGGTTGCCAGTCATGCACAGAAGTATTTCCTGAGACGGTCTTCGATCGACAAAAGGAAGAGGAGATCCAGCCTCTTCGACATGACCCTCGACGCTGCTTCTTCATCATCATCATCGCTATCACCTTCTTCACCATCATCCGTGGTACGCTTCTTCTTCTTCTTCTTCTTCTTCATCTTCATGATCCACAACATATGCATTCCGGTTCACACCGGGTTTTGACAGAGAGCTACATACATGTATAAAACGCAGGTTTTGGGGTCTCAGGATTTGGCTCCAGTAATCAAGACACCAAGAACGTACTCTATCCAACAGGTAAGTGTTCCGCAATCCGAGAACGAGAAGGTAACCGAAACCCTACTGCCATTGTCAACGCCACCTTCAACTCAGATTGCCAACAACAACAGATTTCCACATCTGGGCATAGAGAGTTATCCCAAGTTTCAACCAGCCACAACAACCACTGGTCGCTTTTCCAGTTTCCATCCGGGTCCTTACATGGCAAGGATTTAGATTTTTACCTGATACAAAACATTGCAACATGATTCAACCCATTCTGAGAATTTGGCATCTCTTATATGTCTGCAGGACTTTCTGGCTTCCAAACCTGTCGCGCAGAACTTCATGTGCCACCCGAGTTTGGTCTACTATACCCCTCCAGTTTTCCCAGGATGTTTGCCTGTCGTGGCTCACCCTTCAGGAATTCCATGGCCAAGGTCGAGTTTTGCACACTCGCAGCCGGTTTCGTCAGCTTCGCCAAGTAAGAAGCAAGATCCCCTGAAGCTGGAGCTGAAAGTTGGAGAGTCATCTTCTGAGTCGCCCTCGTCACAAGGAGCAGCAGCAGATATCCCATCTCGTCCCCCTGGAGCAATCAGTGTACAATGAATGGGAAGGCACCTATATTTTTTCATTCTTTTTCTTAGCTTTTTACACCAGTAGGAATAGAGAATGTTATTTAGGAGTAAAGTATGTATAGGATAGTTTTAACAATAAAAATTTTGCTTTCAACGGAAACTGGATTATTAGTTCTGGCGTGATGCAATGAAATGAATGATGAGAAAGCCACAAAATGTTGAGCATGGAAGGTTTTTGACATAAAAGAACAATGCCATTTACTGAAGCTTTTAAGTAACGCATCACTTTGTACATGGCCTTCACAGTTAGACCCAAACAAAATGAAAAAGATACATGAACATGAACAAGGAAACAAGAGGCAGGACAACCGAACAGCAGACGTGTTTAGATGAACAGAAAAAAGATAATGGACAAATATTGGGAATGGATTATGATCAAGGCTACTACTAGTAAGAAGCCAATCCTGCACATGATGGTGTTGATGCAGGACGCTGACCAAATTCGAACTAAGACGAACAGCAGCCAGACTTCTGGTCAACTGGCTGTCCACGTATCTGCACGATTGATGGCTTTCCAGCATTTGATGCCGGCTGACTTGCCATTCTGCACAGATGAAATTGAGTAGACAAATGTATAAGACAACGATATCTGCACATGGAGTGAACATTCTCCCAAGGTACCTAAGTATCAACTGCTCCTAAAGTGCAAATCTATGACTTGATGAGTGCAAACGAGAGATATCAGGGTGCCTATGGCCTTGTCTCTATGGTTAGCTTTTAAGCAGCAACAAGAATTAACTAGTTCTCTGGAAAAAAAAAATCTTTATGCTTCTTTGCTTTATCATTGAAGCTATAGTAAAGCAGTACACTGAAGGGACTCAATCAACACTCAAACAAGCTGTCAACAGTTGGTGACAACCATTTAGAAGATTGAAAAAGATAGCACATGTAGTAAGTACCAAAGAGATACCTCTTCTTAATGTCAGCAGCCATTGCCATAAAAGCCTCCTCAACATTGGTTGAACTTTTTGCACTCGTCTCCATGAAAGGAATGCCAATTTCATCTGCAAAGGCCTTTTGAAAGCGCAGGAAAAAAGGTTAAGGGCCATAGTTGCTGAAAAAAGGTCAAGGGCCTCGCTGCCTTTCTCTCTCTAACACAATCAGGTTGCAGGTGAAATGAAGTATACCTTGGCAGTTTCATAAGACACAACTCTGTTAGCAGTGAGATCAGACTTGTTCCCCACCAAGAGCTTGTTTACATTTTCACTTGCATAGCGGTCAATCTCACTCAACCACTGCTTGACGTTATTGAAACTTTCCTCATCCGTCACATCATAAACTATCTGCCAAATGCAACCGCGGACAGCTTTATGAAATATATTACCCGGAACGAATGAGAGCACTCCACTACTCACAATACCGACAAAGTCAAACTTACGATAATGCCATGTGCTCCCCTATAGTAGCTGCTAGTAATTGTCCTGAACCTTTCCTGGCCAGCAGTGTCCCACTGGGAAAATTTCAAGAACGGAAGAAGAAATATTGTACAAGTATTAGATCACAGAAGTAAGAAACCATAAGAGGGGCAACGGCAAACCATGTACTTACAATTTGGAGCTTAATTGTTTTCTCATCTTGCTCCACAGTTCGGATTTTCTAAAAGTTCATCGGATGAAATAAGCATAAGTAATCAAAACCATATATAAATGTTCAAGAACTCAGAACTGCAAAGCATACTCACAAAGTCTACACCAATTGTGCTAATGTAACTTTCCAGATATGAGTCATCCTGTAGCAGAAGCAGAGAAGGGTTAGTTTGTATGAAGCTGTAGCTTCAGCTCCAGATGGAAAACGAAGACAAGTCCAAACATCAACTGAGCTTCACCACTACTCAGCATTCTGCGACTAACCAGACACAACCACTACAATTAATGCAGATTCGTCTCCTAGATGACAAGGAGTTCAAAACCAAACAGCAGTATCTATGCACAGTTGCCCAGCTCAGATAACAATTGGATATGATCTCAGGACCTAAAGGGCAAGAGATGCCATGACAGGGAAAGAGAGTAGAAACTGCTTACCGCAAATCTGAGAAGGAGACATGACTTGCCAACTCCAGAGTCCCCAATAAGCAAGAGCTTGAACAGATAGTCACTGCATCAGACAGAAACCCTAAACAAATGAGATACACAAACCACACCAGACAGAAAGAAAGAAAGAAAAAAAACTGCACTCTTTTGACGCCTGAGGTTCAAACCACACAAAAATGAAAATTCCCTACAAAATTTGCTTATCCTTCCCCTGATCACAGGAAAAAACAACCAAAAAAAACCAGCGAATTCGTATGAAGCGCCATGCAATTGATCGTTTCCCTTAAAGGTTTACCCTCCTGAGAAGTCTCTCCGACGAGAAATTAGATTTTGATAGGTTAGCTAGATGGCCATCCAAATGAACAGGCAGTAGGCAGTAAAGTGCGGGAGGGAGGATAATCGAGAATAGAGGACTTACTACTCGGGATTCATGACTGGAGTCGGCGACCAGATGGACCGGTCCGGCGGGCAACTGAAATGGAATTTATCAGAGAGAGAGAGAGAGTGAAACGCACCCAAAAAAGAAAAAAATGCAGATCGATATTGCTTCCAAGCTTATGAGGTGACACGATGAAGAGGGGAATGGAGGAGCTGGCACCGACACCCTTCTCGTGGCGTTTGCGGCAGAAAACAGAAGCTGAAAAGTGTCTTTTTCGTTGTGGTTCTTGGCCGAGTTGGAAATCAACGTCCGCCGTCCATTAATTAATAAATAAGAATAATCATAACATAATTCTCTTTTCTTTTTTTAATAATAACTTGTTACAAGGTGCTATTAGAGGGGAAGGGCTAGTGATAGGGAATAGGGATTGGCAATGGGTAAGCTTGGGACGGATTTTGTCAAACCCAAACCCAAATTCATGGGTTTATCAGTCAAAAAATCCTGGGGTAAAACTCGTTGGATTTGAAAAACTCAAACCAAACCCGCTGGGTATCCACGGGTTCATGGGTACCCCTGGGTTTTTCTAGTAAAAAATTTACAATAACATGTTTCTTTCAAAATAAAAGTTTAACATCAATTTTCTCATACAAATTAATCATACAAAAAATACCAATCTAGAGCATACAAGCAAACCGTAAATGATCAATATAAATTGTTCAAAATTAAAGATAAACATCTATAAACAATAAGATTAATTGAAAACTTCTTCCTCGTCAACTAAATTTCTTCATTCTTCATTTCATAATATCAACTTCATTCTAAACAATTAGAAAGAACAAATTATACATGTCTCCACAAACATAAAGAATATTGGTTGTTTAAGGAAGATATATTATTTAGAATATTAAATATACCGGGAAAGTAATTATATGTGTGTGGGCGGGTACCCATGGGGCGGGTTTACCTAAACCCAAACCCGACCCAGTGAATAGTGTAGCGGGTTTAAACCCGAACCCGGCCCAAAACCCGTCAACACGGGTTTTACCCGCGTTGACCGGGTTGGGTCGGAAGGGTACTCGTGGGTTCGGGTTTTGTTGCCATCCCTAGGTAGTGATGGTAATGGGACAAGGCGGGGCTGGGCGGATACCTCAATTCCCATGCCTCGCCCTACGCTACTACAGGTTGTGGCAGGTAAAATCCGTGCGGGTATGGGGAGGTGCGGGTGGACCCACTCTTACATGTTGTATGAAAAGATACATGCAAATTTTACTTTTTACGACAAAATAAAGGGAAAACACTTTATGAAAGAAAAATGTTCATAATAGAATGTGTAATTGAGAGTAACAAGTTGAAATATAGACTCTAACTAGTTGAATACTCATGCACCGCCCCACGCTGATGCGGGTCGGATAATACCCGCTCATCGCGTGTCATGTCGGGTAATACTTGCGGGGCGGGTTCAAATTGCCATCACTAAGAAGGGAAAGTGTGTCGTCACTGGGATTCGACAAGCTCCTATTGGCAGACGGATATTTTTCACTTTGATCTGTAATGGGACGACAAAATCCAACCCTTAATAGAATGGAACAAATCACGATCGGATCCGCTAATAGAACAAGGTGGATATGGATCCTTATTGATGATATAACTTATCCCGCCCCGTCCTGCTCCGCAAACCTGGTGGATAATGTACCACTTCGAGAGTACTAGCATGCTTATACCTTTCGTTCTAATATATAATACAAGATGACAACATTTGATAAAATAATTCTTGAAAAAGACTAACAAGTGGGCCTTTCAAATGGGTCACAAAGTTTTTTCTACTTTTGATTTTTGGGTTTTGAAGTCCATTATGATTTTGTTTAGAAACTTAGTACCTTTGAAGTTTCTATTTTATGGGAGGATAGTTGAAGATGGGTCCGAGTGGATTTTATCTGTCACGTGTGGAGCAAAGCATGGAATGAATATTTTTGTTCCCTCGTGGGGCGCAGGGCAGAGCTCGTTACGAATTCTGCGGCGGGACGAGGCATAGCATGAATTTGGTACTATCCGCTTCAAACAAGACATGTTGCCATTTCTAGCTCCCACTCATGCATTAGTGGGTTGTTGTCCGTGGACCGGATAGTAGAGTGGAATCCAAACCAAACTGAATGGAAAATTACAGTTTAGACCAGACTGTATGATTTGGTCAGGATCGTGAGTCAAGAATCAGGTCTGACCTAGCTTGCGGTCTCCTCCTTTAGAGCACGGCTTGACTCGGTTTGGACCGCAACTAACCGTCATGACCCACTACTCACTAATCCAAATCAAAATAACACTAAACCTCTTTTTCCATATTTGGAAAAGAACATGATCCTAATCAATCCGACCATGGCGAGCAAACAATTCAATCTTCCTATTAATAGATTTCAATACAAGCACAACAAATCTATTGATTCTTCGTACAACTAAAAACCAAAAGACTACTTAAATAGTCCCTTTAGAGCATGGTTTGGTCTGCACTTCAGAATGCTTAAGCTGATCAGGCAACAGTCTATAGATGGTTGAACAACTTGTCTAAAGACAAAGGAAAGAGGAAGTTGGAAGCCTGCACCAAGGGGGAGTCATCTCGTTTGCAAACTAAAATAGAGGAGACAACCCTGGTGGATAGAAGTGGGCGCAATCCACTACCAACTTGCAGGGAAAAGTATTAAAAACAACGTTAGTGGTGATGATGTTAGTTTGCATTGCGAGTTGGAAGAAGAACTTGAAGAGGAACTGGATGAGAACTTCTCTAATGGAGAAATCTTAGAAAATGAGTCTGACCCTGAGCGTCGAAAAAAAAAGAGTCTGACCCTGAATAAGACTTTTAGAAAGGTGCAACCTTTGATTGAGGGGGGGAGTGGGTTTCTGAACGATTAAAATTGCATAGTTTGTTTCTTTTTTGGGAACTATTTGTTTGGCAGGAGAACTCTAGTTTCTATTTCTTCCGTAGGATTTTATGGCAACTTGCCATTTAGCAATGACAATAGAAACCGCAACAGCTACCACCAGCTAGCGACTCCTTTGATGGAGAGAAGGAGCACACACTCCACCCAGTTCCTCAATCTGTTGCCTCCCATCGTCAGCCACCACTCCCGGGATTCCTCCTCCTCGCGATTCCCTAGCTCCGTCAAGCAAGGATCTGAGAAGATCTCCTTTAACATTGCTCTAGAGACAGTGGGTACCAAAACTGGAAAATGCAAATGATGCCATCGAAGTCCCAATTCGTTATCCGTATTGGCCGGGCCAACCACCCGGGTCCTTTGGGTTTTGATCGGGTCAAAGTGGGTTTGACCATTCCAGGTTATCTCTTAAATGGGTGTTTAACACCCGTTTTTCCCTCCGTGTCCGGGTCGGCCAACGAATTAACAACCTTGCTCGCAGCGAATATGAGCTGCAAAATCAAGAAGGAGCAAGGAAGAAAACGAAATAATTTGATTCAAACATCTCTAAGGAGAAGACTAGTATATATAGAGCAGAAAACTATAGCAGTAGTTAGACTTTTCTACAAACAAGAATCGAGAAAGGGTTTGTGAGTGATTAAAGAGAGAAAATTCGGGTAGAAATTTGAAGTGTTTCTAGAATTGATATTCGGGAAAATCAAGTGTCATTAGCTGGGTAACTAGTGTGAGTGTGAGATTGGTAAGGTGAGTGACTCGCTAAAATACAACCCCTAACATTGGTCAAGTGTAACCAATGAAAGATACTGCAGTATAACGGCAAAAGTAGTAAATATTGAATCCTCGGGTCTCTAGATGTACTATTACTCAGCTCCAGTTCATTATCTAGCACATCAAATTGAGGTTTGATTAACTAAACTTTTTTACAAGCTAAACTAGGTTAGACTACTAATTACAGGTTGAGAAATCACTTAGGTATGATTCCCCCTAGATCCTCAATTAGGTCCAAGTTGTGATTTTCTTTGGTCGTTTTACTATTGATTATACTGCAAAATATCCGATAATAATTTGGAATTTCTTAAGTTGACCAAACCCTTTTAGACAAAGTACTCGGCGAGCGACTAACCTCAACCATAGTAAAATGCTAAGGCAATACACAAAGATCTCCACTACTGGAATGAATCCCAGTACAAAGCAGTGAATCGACTGACTCTCGCACAATCGACTCTCTACTTCCAGTTGAAGAGAGCTCTTTTAACCCAATCAGATTCTACCCATCATAGGTTTGAGCATAAATCAAAAGAATGTGAACAAGATCCAATTGACTCACTTCATACTTCAATTGAATAAAACCAATAAGTATAGCATCCAAAGGTTCAAACAACAAAGATCCTAACACATGGAACTAGAGTTACTCAAAACCTAAGTGAAGGAAGTTACTCCATAAAAAAGAGAGAGAATGCGGAAATCTTATCTAGATCTTCAATCTCCATCTCCAAGCTTTATTCTCGAGCTCCAGTGGCGAAGAAATCCTCCAAAATAACTCCTAGAATGTTCCCAAGTCGCTCTCTCTCTAGGGTTCATCCCTTGGGTGTTTGGGATCCAAAACCCAGCTGAAATTGGATCTTGATAACCGAGATGAAATTCACCCCCTCTACTTGCACGACCATGCAAATCGAAGTTTTGGTCGTGCAAACTCACTGAAAACCTTGCACGGCCGTGCACATTTTCCAGCATGAACTCCCAAGCTTCGCTTGAACTCATTTGACCTCCAATTCAGGTACCGTTTGATCTCAGATGCTCGTAGTCGCGTCCTCTTTCTTTTCATGACAATATTGCACGATTATTTTTCCATAAAATGATGTTTAAATCCATTCTTCTTTGGGTCATGCCCAAGTTTCTTCTCTCGAGTCACCAATTGATCTCCGATTGACTTGAAACTTGTGCTTATGATTCACTTTACATGTTAGGACCTGTAATGTGACAAAGGAACACAACCTAGCATAAAATAGGCCAAAGTAGGATAAACACCAAGCTAAAAAATCAAGAAATGAGGGGGTAAAAACATGTACAAATATAGTGTTATCAGTGAGATCTATTAACAGGGAGCTCATCAATCGATTTGTGAGTGAGATTTAAATCTGTGAGCATCGGCAGAAAATTCATAGTGAAACGTCAGAGTTCGTACACTCTGATCCTCTAACCGTGAAATAATCAGTGTTGTGATCTTCATTCTCCTGACACTGGAAACTACGTAAAAACTCTTTTGTCATGTGCACTTTTTCTTACTCTGTATTTGCATTTTAATTATGGAATTTTGTTCTTGGTTGTTGTTTTGAGTATTGCATGGCGCTCT